CTCAGAAAGTCACTCATAGACACCTAAATCATTGCTCATTAAAGCTGGGAGGCACTGGAGATACTGCCAGCACACTGATTCCCAGTCCTCATCACCTCTTCCTTCAGGGATTTCATATTTGGAAGCTTCCTTTGTTCAGCACTTGCTCATTCACTGGGCTAAGAATTTTCCCCTTATTATTTCATCTAATGCCAACAAAACTTCTGAGAAGCATCCATCATTATCTCCATTTTACATATTTAAATAAAACTAAGAATAAGAGAAGTGTGTTTGGCCCCAAACCTACCACAAAAAGTGGGTGATCAGCTAGAATTCAACCTAAGTCCGTGTGATTTTGAGGCCCCACATGCTGCTATATAACAAGAAATGGCTCATGCTCCCAGCAATTGCACTCATAGGTGATACCTAAGAGAAAAGAAAATATATGTTCACATAAAAACTTATGCACAAATGTTTATGACAGCATTATTCATACTAGCCAAAGGGTAAAAACAGCCCTAATGCCAATCACTGATGAACAGATAAACTGGAATTTTTTCTTCCAATGGAATATTACTTGGCCATAAAAAGGCGAAAACAATGATACATGCCACAACATAGAAGAAACTTGAAAACATTTTGCTAAGTGAAAGAAGTCAGTCACAAAGAGCATATACTGTATGATTTCATTTGCATAAAATGTCTAGAAGAAGCAAAGACGTAGACACAGAAACTAGATCAGTAGTTGCTCAGGACCTGGGAGATAAGGCAGTGATCCCTAAAAGATATGTAGTTGCTTGTTGTAGTGATGAAAATGTTCTAAAGTCTTCTGTAGTGAGGTTGTGCATAACAGTGAATATACTAAAAGCCACTGAGTTGTGCACTTTAAACAGGTAGATTGTATGGCATATAAATTATATCTTAATAAAGTCATTTTAAAATAGGTATGCCTGATAAGAGACTCTAGGTTCTGTCTCCTGAATGTTGGGAGACAGAAGTTGCATGGTTCAGTGGAAAGAACAAGAGCTTTGGAACCAGTAACCTTGGTCAAATTGTTTAGACTTTTGGAGTCCTAGTCCCTTGTCTATAAACTGTAGTGAGAGAGCCCTATCATCAAGTTTTTATGATGTTTAGAAAGGTCCCTGGCCCCTCCAGTTCTGAATCTGGCAATTTTGAAGTTTGAGGCTTGAGTAAAGAAGTAAAAGGGTGACAGAGTTCCCTTGCATTAGAGTTATCTCCATGAGTGACCCTTCTCTCCTGCTTGGGTCAGAAGCTGGTCAGCCAAAGACTGGAAGGAGAGTTAGAAATTAGCTGTGGGTCCCCAGATAAGATGGACAGACGGAAGGTAGAAAACAAGGGGGATTTGTCTGAACTCAAACAACCTGCTGACCACAAACTGTTAGAATCTAGAACCAGGCTTATGGGAGAGCTGTGAGCCTGGCTTCTGCTACAAGTAAAATGTGGCTCCTTTTCAAGGGAGTGGGATGGGCTAGATCATCCTGATGTATTTTTTCCCGACTATGAATTATCTGCCAAAAATGCAGCAATGCTTCTCTGAAAACAACTGGGGGATGGTAAAAAAGTAGAAAAAGGCTAAACAAGTAAAAAATAAATAAAATTAAGCAACAAACAAATCTTAACTTGATAATGGTGGTACTTTCATACTAGGAAATAGTAACCACGGTGGTGAAGTCCAGTTGATCATGTCATACATTGCAAATTTGCAAATTCACTAGGCTGGAACAAATGCTCTGCCTTCCTGTTTTAGCTCAAACTGTGTGACAAGTGTGCCTAAACAGGTGTGGCTGTTTAATGCCATGTCCTCTACACTGTTTTGCTTTTTGTTGATTTCTGTTTAAATGGCCCCCAAGTGTAGTGCTGATCTGCTATCTAGTGTTTCTAAGCATAAGAAATTAGATGCCCCTTAACAGAGACTGTATATGTGTCAGATTATGTTCCTTCAGCTATATATTATAGGGCTTTGGCCATGAGTTCCATGTTAATGAATCAGCAGTAGGTATCATTGAATGTCTTTAAATAGCATACCTGAAAAGTTCATGTTGCGCAGTTGGCAAAAATGTGACCAGAGGCTTGCAGAAGCCTTACATTTCTTCTAGAAGCAACAATTTGGTATTTGCTATTCAGTGTTTGTGGTGTCTTTATAATTACTGAGAATAACAGGAATTGATTGTACATGCTATGTAATTTTCATACATTATCTCATTTTAATGCCCACAGGAGGGTGTCATCTTGTTTTACTGATGAGGAAAGTAGGGTTATCCATGTGTCACTTAGAGCTAGCACGTGGAAACGACAGGAGTTAGATCCATTTTTAACTCCCAGAGGAGGAAGGGAGCTCTCCAGCTTTTAAATGGGAATGCCAATTTTTAGGAAAAGATAATGGATCCTCATTAGGATTGGTAGAAGGCCCAAGGAGAGCTGATCTTAGTCAAGAGCAGTATATACCTGATAAAGGAGGAGGAAATAACTGAACATGACCCTCCAGGTGTAGTGGGCACTGGTCAGATGATAGCTAAGACAGTGGAAAGACTTCAGTTGGCAAAGAAGTGATGCACCCGAGTGGGAGGAATATTGGAGCCACCATATCAGGAAAGAAACAATGGAAAGGACAGTCAGCCTAGAAAGGATAGCATGGAGGAAAGCAGGAGGGATCTTTCAATATCTAAAGAGCTATCTTGTGGATGAAGAACTAGATGGAAAGCAGAACTAGATAGCAGGCCAGTAATTACAGGGGCAGATGTTGGCTCAATGTAAGAACATTTTGTGATATTCAGAACTTTCTTACAAGTCAAAATTAGAAATCAGTGGTCCATAGGCCATATTCAGCTGCAGACATTGGCTTGCAGTGTTTTAAAAAATGTATTTAAATGCCATTTGTGGGGAATGGGCTTTCTTGTCCACAGCCTGCTGCACCCTGTGCTTCTGACCCATGTGGTGTCCAATGTTAACTTGTCTTTCTCTTAAAGCATTGTTGCCAGATTTAGTGAATACAAATATAGGATACAGTTACACTTGAATTTCAGGCAAGTGACAATTTCTTAGTATGAATACGTCCTATGCAAATCCTGGGATAAACATTTATATTCCAATATTTGGTATTTATTAATGCTGCCCTGTATTTATCTGAAAGCTCTATCCTGGAGACTTTAAATGGGAGCCCTTGATGTTGTATTTTGAGTAAGTAGTCTCCATATTTAGGAACTGTTCAGGGCTTTCAGAGGAATGCTTGCAATGATACAAGGCTGAACTTGTTTAAGTATCCTGGCCCTATTTTCTTGACAAAGCCATTTCAGAATAATAAAATAATACAAGGTAGGAGTTAACTCAGAATAGTAACCTAGGTGCTGTTCTGGGTGTGGTTGACAGCTTCTTACTCTAACAGCATTATGTTCTACCAGAAGAGCTGGGATTGATTAACAGAGAAGAACAAACAATATTTTTTACCTCTACTATCAACTGCTAGTAAAATTCTTATGAAGTAAAAGTCCCCTGCCATGTCTGCAGCTGGGAGAATGATGGCAATCTCTTTTTGAATCAGGGCATGAACCAAGTGACACATAACACCCCAGAATGATAATTCTGTTTTCATCTGTCAGAAGCCATCTTTTACTTCTCTGAGACTGGTTAGTCATCCTGACACTTGTTTTCCTGTCCTGCTGCCAGAATTGCTTTTCTGGCTGTTTTGAACAGACTGTGACCAACTCCCTGGGAACATGGCAAGAGTTGATATGAGAGAAGACTGACACTAGCTCCCTGTACCAGAGCCTCAGTTTCTTTGATGGAAAAGGAGTGGCAGGATCTCTGAGGTCACTTCCAGAAATTGTGCTTCTAAAAATGTGTCAGTAGTTTTAGGTCATCAGCTAGGTTTTCAGTATCCTATCTGGTCTCCAGAGAATTTAAGTTGTTTAGTGGGACTCAAGACAGCATTTGGTTTGGCTCTGTTATTTTGGAGGCAGTTTAACTTGGTGGTAGGATGATAAGGTCTAGAGCTGATGGTTGCAGTCAGCTCACCAGCCAGAGCTCTTTGTAGCTCAGCTAACAGCTTTTCTTTTTTTGCCTCAATTCATCGTGTCTCCCTTACTTTCTACCCACTTCTCTCGAAAGTCCTCCACTTAAAACACACAAAACAATAAAAAGCAGGGGAAGATAATAAAATGAATAAAACTATCTGGGGTAGGAGAGCTATGCAGTATACACTAAAGTATTATACAAAAGGAGTTTGACAACTCTCATTTATCCTTTTGGTGAAAAGATCTAGAAGACATGGGCTTCACCTTCTCTTTTAAAGATAGCTACATTTAGCATATCCCCAGGTTCACTAGAATAGACCCCAATACTCCTAGTGATCCTGTTTCCTATCATTCTCCTCTTCATCAAGATTAAATAGATAGAACCTCAGGGGTTACTCAAAGTAGGCAAAACTCCATGAAACTCCATTTCAACTATTGTAGCAGAGGAACAAATTGTTCAACATGTTCTTTCTTCTCACGGGAAACCAAAGTTAGGGCTGAGAAGTTACTGATGTTGAGAATCTCTGAATCTTAAACAAGGGGCTTCAGGTGATTTATGGCTCCACTATTTGCCAGTAGTCACCCTGCTTTTATGGATTGCTCTATTAGGTATCCTGTCTCCTCAACTGGACCTTCTGAGGGACTCTGTTCTTTTCACTTTTTAAAATTTTACTGTATGCACTCTGATCTTTAGCCATTAAGTGCTGAATGAATGAATAGGAAATAAAGAGAAAAACAAAACAATGGCATTGGAAACAGAAATATCCTGGACAAAATCCTAGCTCCTGCGTTTTACCAGCTGGTAAACTTGGACAAGTTTTTAATATGTTTTTTAATTTCTTCAAGTCTCAGTTTCTTTATTAATAGAATGCAGATAAACCACTTCTTTTACTGGATGGGTTGTGAGGAATGGGATAATAATCCCAGCTATTATTATTTCACTTGTTGAATTAATGCAAAACACAAGCAAAAAGAGCCACTACATAGCAGTATGATTTTCTAACTTTTAATGCAGTCTCATTTTGTTTGACACAAAGATCTAAACTGGTGATCTGATGGATGAGTTGCTTTGGTTGACCGCTCACTGTGGCAGGGCACTACAATGCTAGTTCCTAAAAGCATTTAAGAGGCATTATAGTCAGCAGTGGGATGCATGCCAATTGTTTTATTTATGATGCCTATTATGACCACGAGGCCAGCCAGTATTTGGCCCTCAGGAAGAAACCTATGGCCCCATCCACGTCATTACTCCATAATGCGGCGGAATGACTGGACAGCAGGAGAAGCTGCACCCCAATCGATGGGCTTCCGGTACTCCTTCTTGTCCAGGAGGTACTGTCTGCCACGGTAGTTGGGTAGCTCATAGAAAACCCAGACACCTTCCAGCACTTTACAGGAGTGGATCTCTCTCATGTGAAACTGCTCCATGATGGAAGGGCAGTCTTCAGTGGTTTCATACATCTGACCATTAAAATCCCCTTTCTCAAAGATCTGAATCTTATACTGGCCTCCACTAGACTGAAATAAAAAAAAAAAGAAAGAAAGAAAGAAATGAATAGCCATTGTTATGGAAATCATCAGCAGGTTAGGAACTCAGAGAACAGCCTGTTTCAGAACCTAAATCCTCAGAACTCCCACCCTCCCTGAAGAAATGACTGAAACAGTTGACTTTTAATAAGAAAACATTTCTCCAAATACTCAAGAGGTAGTAAGTAATGGAAGTCATAAGTGTAATTCAGTTTTATGATGAACTGATCTAAGATTTATTTAAGATTCAGCAACCAAGAGAAGCCAGCTGCCCATGGAAAGGTAGGAAGACTTTAAGAAAGAAGAAAATGGAGGAGAGGGAGAAAGTGAGCAAAAGCCACTCACCAGATGAATAGCTCTGCAGGAGCCCAGGCGGTCATTGAGGCCCATCCAACGCTGGTATTCAGGGTACTCTCCCTGAGGTAAGATGTACATGTGCCCAGCAAAGTTAGGTCTTTCATACACAGCCCAGGTGCCTCCTTCCACTCTGATTGAATTGCAGCGACTTAGGTATGCGTGGAAATCTGCACAGTCGCAATCACAGTCATAGTGGCGGCCTTGAAAATTTTTGTCTTCATAAAAAGTGATCTGAAGTACAGGACAAATAAATAGAAGAACTGAGGAGTTGGGTGGCTTTATTCATAGATAAAATAAAAATTAAAAAATCTTGCCCACTTTAAAAATTCCTTTCTTCTCAACTCAGAAGAGACAGTATACGTAGTTCTACTTTACCTCACAACATTTGGTTTCTGGCAAACAATCTTAGTTGTCAACAATAGGAAGAAGTACTTTCTGAACACTTAAAAATGAAGCAAAAGACAAAAAGGCTCTAACATAAACCAGCAGTTTCACACTCTAGTTCATTGCTTCTTCATGTTCCCACAGCTTTCTGTACCTATTACATTATATTGTAAACTGTTTGTTTCTATGTCTATCCTCCCACCCGACTCCTTCTAGATTTCATCCAAGGGCAAGAACCAAGGCTATGGGCTCCCTGAACCCAGCACTTGCCAAGCATTCAAAAAATGTTTGATAAATATGACTAAGTTCCACATACAGAGATTCATGGTAGGTGATATGGAAGATGTACACAGAAACACAGATTAATAAAAACATAGATTAACTTTCAAGAGCTTCTTTTAAAAGACTATAGAGCAAACACTCATTAAAATATATATTATATCTTCTACATTAGTTTCTTGCCAATGTAGTAGCTGTAAAGTAACGAAATAACAAGGCAAGAGCATTCTTCGCTTCAAAGTCTTACCAAATTTCTTCACAGCGTCTGGGGTCTCTCATAGCACTAAAACAAATGCAACCCTTGGAAACCAGAAATAAGAAGGCTCAGTTCTAGGGCAGCTTCACCACCAACATACATTAGTGCAAACATCTCTCTGGGCTTCAGCTTTCCATTTGTCAAATAATATGACTAGAGAGACTGGAAGTCCTGGCTATAAAACAACTCAGCATAGTTCTGGCTGAAATAGAAAACAGCTCCCAAGAACACTTAGGAATTTATCAAGTAATTTCTGAAAAACTCTATAAAAAACAAAAATGGACTGTTGTTTTTTCCTTTTTGCTTAATAATTAATTCCAAATCTAAGATCAATATTAGGTTAGAATTTGGATTGAATGCACAAGTGTCATGATTTGAGTGGCTAATTTCTTGGAATTATGCTGCCACCTTGTGGCTAATTTGCTTTAATGAACCCAAAGGAGTAATTTCAGATAAACAGGGCCAGGTAGTCTTGAGTTCTTGAGCAGAGGATTGAAACTAGATGTTTTCCAGAAGCAAAGGAAGAGAGATAAGCCTGTTCAGCAGAATAAAGGAGGGGAATAACATGACATATTGTAGGGACAATAAGTAGTTAACTCTAGTGCATAGTGAATATATGGTTAAGAATCAGGGGGAAATGCCAGAGAAATGACACAAGAGCCAAGCTAGAATCAATACCCTTGAAACTCATGTGGAAGCTGAACATTAGTGGTTTGTGCCTGGAAATAGATGGTTGCTAGGGGCCAGGGGTGGAGGTGCAGAGATGATGAGGACCAAGTGCAATGCAACTGCAATGGGAAAACAATCAAAAGAAATTTAGGATTTGGTGAGCTATTAGGTGCAGAGAATGAATGAGAGGAAAAAAAAATGACTTGCAAAGGGCATAAAATATCCTTCTCCACCTGGGGTGTTTCTTTCTAGATAGAAACATACCCACCTTCTACTTTATCTTTCCCTACCTTTCCCATTTTTCTCAACTCCTGTAAATCCTGTTCTCTAAAAACTTCCTTTTCCCCTTCTCACCTACTAGAAGAATCATCTCCTTTCTCTTCTCACCCAATTTTTGTTTTTCTGCTCCTTTCTTCATTTTAGCATAGCAGACTAGAGATCGATGGTACCTGAGTTCATGGATGAAAAGAAAAAAATTCCAGCACCACTACTTACCAGTTCAGGAACCTGGGACAGGGCATTGAACCTTTTCCTAAACATCTTCATTTGCAAAACGAGGTAACAATTTATACTGCAGAGGGGTGTTCTGAGGGCCCAAAAGGATGTCTACAAAGCACTTGGTTTAATACTTGATTTCTAATTGCCAATAAGCTTTTGCTACAGTTGTTACAAAGAAGGGACTTGCCTAAGGTCCCTGTAAGCTAGTTACAAGACAGCTGCATCAAGTTCAGTAATGCATGGTTCATTTTATTTTCCTCTACTGTCTCCCTGCTTGCACAGCCAGCTCTGTTCAACAAGGCAGTGCTACCCTTTGATGCTGAACAGAACTGATCCTGAGCCTGTGAGGCTTTTCCTACTACCTGTGGAAAGATCTTTAAGAAATCAAATAACTTCTCCAGGAATGGATAGGTTCTAAACTCCCTAATCCATAAACTCAATTCACTTTGTTTTGGACTAACTATTTACCCAAACAGATGCTTTGTAAGGGATATGGTAATGGGAATAAAATTATCATCTATTTTACCTTTTTTCTCATACTTACTTCCCTGTGCACATTTGTCTGATACTAATACCTGAGAAGTAGAAATATACATGACATTCTATAAGGTCACCATGCTGTTCATCATCCTAACTGACCAGTCAACTGTCCCAAGGCCAAAAGTACTCATCATATTGTCATAGAATCAATACTGTGGTCCAGGACCAAGGTCTTCAGAGTCAGAGCATGTTAATACCTGGCTATATTCAATTTTTAGTTGTAAAAGAAACATGAAATTTACTTGTTCTACTGTTAGCTGAGGTTTTGACTGTTGGGCAAAAAGTTTTATGGAAAACTAAGAGATGTGCAGAAAATTTTCCTAAAAAGTACCACAAAGTTGGGCTGGGGATGTGGCTCAAGCTGTAGCGTGCTTGCCTGGTATGCATGTGGCCTGGGTTCAATTCTCAGCACCACATACAAAGAAAGATGTTGTGTCCACCGAAAATTAAAAAAATAAAAAATTCTCTCTCTCTCTCTCTCAAAAAAAAAAGTACAACAAAGTTTCTATCATTTTCAAAATTTCTGTTGAAAAGCAGCTTACCAATCCAACACAAAAGGAAAAATGTCTTTAGTATCTGAGAGAGAAAACATGCTTAATATAATCTGTTCTTTTTGCTGAGGCCATAATTCCTTGAATAAACTGCTGGCAAAAGAGTGGGAAAGAGAGAAGCAATGAAAAACAGTAAGAAATTATTTACTATCTCCCTTGGACTAGCAAGCAAAAGTTATTTTAATAAATGAACAACCCAGCTATAAGAAATAAGAGATCATATTATTACTACTCTGGAAATCTTTGAAATTCCAGAAAGAGGGGGATGTTTTCATCTGTTTAGGATGGTTATGTAACAGCCATGGTACGTGGAAATCTCTCTAAGGATTTCAAATTCTTTGTTAGTAGGATGTGCATGGCACATTTTCAAGAACCTCAGAGTATTAAAGACTTCTGTTTTTCCCCAAACCTTCGGACGATAAGCATTGATTTTTAGCTCTATTTGCCAACTGGCAAAAAAAAAAAAAAAAAAAGACACTAACCAGTTATGGATCAAGTACTTCCTGATGATACACTGGGAAGTATACAATATTGCCTCTGTAGTTTTCTTGCCAAAAATGTTGTCTGAATCCACACATGAGGAAATAATCAGACAAAAATCAAGATGCAGGACTTTTTCTATAAGATACATGGCTTAGATTTGAAGTGTTAATGTCTCAAAAACAACAACAAACGTAGAGGGACTGTAATAGATTAAATAGGTTAAAGAAAAAAAAGAAGAGACACGACAAACCAAATATGACCTCAAACGCAAAATATGACCTCTATATCCAATGTCACACATTTCTGGTGGCGGGGGGGGGGGGATTTGAACAAGGTCTGAATACACACACACACACACACACACACACATATAGCATTATACTTATATGCAGAAATATATGTATAAATATAATACAAGGTATATTTATGATGAATCTTGGGGACATGATGATGTTTACATAGGGATAGCCTTTGGTTTTAGGAGATATAGAAGGCAAAAGATACGTTAAGGTGAAAGGATAAAGAAGTTTGCTCCTTATTTTCAAATGGCTTAATTAAAAAAGAACAATAAAATGTGATAAAATGTTAATTGGAGAATTCAAGGGAAGGACATACAAGTATTCACTGAACATTTCTTGTTCTTTCAAATTCAATAAATTTGAAAATTTTTCAAGCAAAATGTTGGAGGAAAAAAATCAGGTATGAGACAATGGCTTTGCCTTAGACTCATTAGTGAGTAGAAGAACTAAAGAGAATGTCATTCCCAAAATGTTGTCTAAGAGATCACTTCCTAGCCCAGCAACTGTGAATCAAATATTTTAAAAGCAGTTTTCCTAATGTAAGTGAACATTTTATTTGGTGAAAGGGTGAGAATAACTGCTTGAATGAAGGAAATACCAAAGATTATTTCACTTGACTGGCCCACCCACCTTGGGCTTTTGGAACATTAAGAGTTGAAGCTAAATTTAATAAAACAAATGTTAATTGACTAAGTTTCCTACATGTTCTGTTTCTGTGGCACCTCACAGAATTTAGTTGCTGGAAGGCAGAAATCATGATATTTACATGTTATTTATCTGTACAGTATTCACACAGCAATATATATATACATATATATGTATATATATATATATACACATAGATAGATAGATAAACCCTTAAGAAAGTATTTGGTAATTCTGTTAGATTAGAAAAATACAATAAGCTTTTCTTAATTTTCTCTCCCAGTACTAGTCCTTTAACCATTCTTATACTCACCTCTAGGCAAAAAAGCAAAAGCTCTTCTCCACGTTCCTTTCAGTGTATTCATTACGTTTAAAGTGGGTAGGCTAAAAATCAGTATGACTTTTTTACTTACCTTGGTTCCAGTTTTAGACATTTTTAGTGCATAGGTTGATTTCCCCAGTGCTGAAAGAAACCCAGGAAAGCTACAGAGAGTTAGAAGCCCAGAGACATTTATACTGGGCTGGTTTCAAATCAAACATCTGCTTAGTCATGAGAATAGGTTCCAAAAATTGAGTCAGTCATTTAGAGTCTATTGATGGTTTCTAGAAAAACAACTGGGATTATAAAATAAAGGAAAGCTTCAGTACCCCCTTTAATGCTTACCCAGCCCTGCTGCATTATAGACTTTGCTGAGTCAAGACACCAAAACCAAGCCAAAGTTTTAAATATTAAAAACAAAAAAGTCTCTCTTCCCTGGACAATTTACTTTTTTCAGCAAGCAACCTCTTTGAAATTCTTTTTTTCCTCAACAAAGCTTGTAGAAGGCTGAGTCTAAACACCACTCTCTATTTTTGGATAAAAATGACACATTTTTGAAGGCAATAAAACTTACATGACAACTAAAAGCAATGCATGGCCTTGTGTTTGGAAAACAGTCACTACAAAGAACATTCTTGGGGCATTTATAAAAATTTTAATATGATCTGATATTAGAAATTCTATCGTACCTATATTTAACTTTTTAAATTGTTGGTATGACTAAGTAAGAAATTCATGCTGATATATTTGGGAGTGAAGGTCTAAGATGCCTATAACCTACTCACAAATTAAGCCAGTAAAACAATACTGTGTAGAGGGTGGTCAAGTGAATGTGGCAAAATGTTAACAATTTGTGAACCTACATAGCATATATGGGAGATCATGGATCTGTTCTTGCAATTGTTCTTTAACTTTGAAACACAAATTGGAAAGAGTTCTAATTCATAAGAAGCATGACACACTATACAGAAAGACAGGAAGCTACTGTGGAATTCTGGAACTTGCCACCCGCTAGTTAGTCTTTCTTTGCCTATGAGATCATTTTTGAACCTGTTCAGAGAACATTCTTTTGGCCCTGAACACATCTCTGACTTTAGGCTGAGAGTACATCTTATGTAAACTCAAATAAATAATGTATCATCCCTTCTCCATTTTAATTTTTCTGATCTAGAATATATCTTCTCAAAAGTCCAACTTCCCCATCTTTCTACTAACAAAGTTGTACAATGAATATTTTTGTAATGGGATACCCATAAGATATATTATGATCAAATTAGAAAAATCAAAAATGCTTAATATAAAAACTACTGAGAAACAAAATTAAGTTATATGCTTAGTTTTCTGAATTTTATAAATTATAAGGAAATATCTGATTAATATCATTAATGTCATTAACAATTTCCCAAACACCCTTTATTATTCCAATATTTATTTATTTGATAATGCTCTGCTTGCTTGAATTTCATCTTGAAACAAAAACTCTGAAAACTTCAATTAGAATTAACAACATTGTGAAGGTTAATTTTCACATCACAAATAAAAGTAGCCCTTTTTAAATACAATTACTAATTGAATTGCCAATGAGCATATGAAATATGAATAATTCATTTTATCAACTGAAAATTGTTTTCTTTTTCTTGAGAAACAAAGCTTATCCAATCAACTGTAAATTGTACTTCCATATGTCACAGAATGATAATGAAAACCTTTTCTAAAATCAAAAGTAAAGCCTTGAAGCTGTGGATATAACTCAGAAGAGTGCTTGCCTAGCACAAAGCCATGGGTTCAATCCCCAGCACCACACAAACAAAAATAAAGCTTTGCCTTTTTAACAAAAGAAAATTACTTTTTAGCTTGTTGAGTTGAGAATTTGAAGCAGAAAATTTAAAAAAAGATTTTTACACAAGTTCATTAAGTTTCATACTTTAAGGATTAAAATATCTTTGTACAAAACTATTTCTGTTTTATTTATACACCAACCAATCATACTTTTATTCCAATTATTTTTTAAAAGCAATAGCAACCATCTTTTAAATAGTTACAAAGAACTATAAAAAATCTCTTTAACTCTAGAAAGGATCAAACCCTTTCATCATACAAATTAAAAAATGAAATCACTTGCAAATCTATGATCACTTAAATATTCATACACATACATACACACACAAAATGGGACTGCCTTCATTAACATGTTGGCATCACAAACATGAGTCTTCTAATGCTCTATAAACAATATGCTTACATGAAAGTCAGAAGTTTAGCTAAGATTCAGCCTAAATAGTAATAATTGAGTATGAATGGAAGTCAAGGAAAGGTCTTAAATAAAGGGCCAAAAAAAAAAAAAAAAAATCCTCAAAGTCTCTTAAGCAGCAATGAAGCTATCCCAATTTTGTATTAAGATGGGAACCATTCTTCATTCATCCTTATGTTTCCAGGGCCCTGAAGATAACAAAAGAAAAATTCATATTAATTATTTTTTTTTGCCTTCATGCAAATAAGAAAACCCTTATTTACAAAATCACATAAATTATGGAGATCAGATAATTTAGAGTGATAAAACAGAGTTTATAAGGTTAACCATATTCCTTTTTTGTGTCACATTAGTTCATAATATCTCCTATGTGTAATTCTACAAAAACCTGGCAGATCATGAGATAGGTTTAAGCTAAAATATTTACCCTGTTATAGTTTCAATTTCTTTTGCAAAATCTCCTAATTCTTAATCTCAGCATTATTAACTAAAAATATGAAGACTTTTTCTTTAAAAATGTAATATGCAACTTAAAAATGTAAATACTACATAAAGTAAATAACAAAGTATATCTTTCATAGCTTTGAAAAATTGCCATTCCTTAAAAAATTAAGTATAATATATCCTTGCAATTCCTTTCCTAGGTATATGCCCATGTGATATCAGACCAGAAACTAGGTAACTCCTAGAAAACGTAGAGTCAATACTCCAACATATAGGTATAGGCATCAACTTTCTCAATAGGACCTCTAAAGGTCAGGAAATAATGCCAAGAGATAATAAATGGGATGGCATCAAAGCTTCTGAACAGCAAAGGAAACAATCAAGAATGTAGACAACTTATAGAATGAGAGAAAACCTTTGCTAGCTCCTCTTTAATAAGAGGATTAATATCCAGAATATATACAAAAACTCAAATTTAATACTGAAAAGCAAAAAAAAAACCCACTAAAAAACAATAACCCAATTAATAAATGGACAAATGAATAAGCAGCATAACAGACACTTCTCAAAAGAGAAAATTCAGGGCTGGAGTAGTAGCTAAGATTCAGCCTAAATAGTAATAATTGAGTATGAATGGAAGTCAAGGAAAGGTCTTTACTTTAAGACCTTTCCTTAGTGGTAGAGCACTTGCCTTGCAAGTGTGAGGCACTGGGTTCGATCCTAGCACCACATAAAAACAAACAAAAGGCATTGAGTCCATATTCAACTAAAAAGAATTTTTTAAAAATACAAATGGCCAACAAATATATGAAATAATGTTCAATATCATTAGCAATTAGGGAAATGCATATCAACACTACCCTGAGATTTCATTTCACTTCAGTCAGAATGGCAACCATCAAGAATACAAACAATAAAAAATGCTGAAGAGGATATAGAGTAAAAGGAACATTTTTACACTGTTGGTGGGATTGTAAATTAGTACAATGGAGGTTCCTTCCTCAAAAGACTAGGAATGGGCCAGGCATGGTAGTGCATACCTGTAATTCTAGTGCTTAGGAGGCTCAGGCAGGAGGACTGCAAGTTCAAAGCCAGCCTCTTCAAATTTGCAAGGCCCTAAGCAACTTAGCAGAACACGCTGTTTCAAAATTAAAAAAAAAAAAAAAAAAAAAAAAAAAGGCTGGAATGTGGCTCAGGTGGCTAAGCATCCTTGGGTTCCAAACCCAGTACTAAAAAACAAAATAAAACCAAAAAACAAAGACCAAAGAAAGACAAAGAATGGAACCACCATATAATCTAGCTATACTACTCCTGAAGAATTAAAATCATCATGCTCTAGTGATATACGCATACCATATATAGCAGCACAATTGTTTATAGCAGCACAATTCACAATAGCCAAACTATGGAACTTACATGTCCATCAATGGATGGATAAGGAAAAATACACACAATGAAGTTTTATTTGGCCATAAAGAAGAATGAGATCATCATTTGCAGGAAAATGAATAGAACTTCAGAACATTGTTAAGTGAAATAAGCCAAATATAGAAGGCCACATGTTTTATCTCATGTGGAAGCTTAGAAAAGAAAAGAGAAAAGATAGTTGAGGATGGAATCTCCTGAAAATCAAAGGGAGATCAGTAGAGGAAAATGACCAAGGGATAGGAGGTGGGGAGGAAAAGAGAAATACTTGAGAATGATATTGACAAAATTATATTGTTATATTGTGTGCATGCATGAATATGTAACAACAAATCCCTCCATTACTTACAACTGTAGTTCACAAATAAAGATATATAGAAATAAACATGTCTCTACAAACACTTACATACGAATGTACATGACAGCATTATTCACAAAAATACCAATAACCCAAATGTTCATCAACTGATGATTGATAAACAAAGTGGTAGATCCACACAATGAAATAACATCCATCCATAAAAAGGAACAAAGTTTTAATACATGCTACAACATGGATGGGCCTTGAAAACATTATGCTAAGTAAAAGAAGACAGACATATTATGAGATTCCACTTTTATGAAATGTCCAGAATAGACAAAGTAGATGACTAGTTGCCAGAGGAATAAGAATAGATATATAGGGTTGGAGGAATGGGGAGTGACTGCAAATGTGTCTGGGCTTATTTTAGAGGTTATGAAAACATTCTGAATTTCTAAATGGTGAATTCAGCACAAAATTGTGAATATACCAAAAGCCACTAAATTCATTATTTTAAAACAGTGAATTTTTTATGTAAATTACATCTCAGTAAAAAAAGTTTTTCCTATCCTAGACACCCAGTCTTATTCCTGAAAAAACAAATACTGTTTATGACTTCTTTACATCCTTTCAGAAAAATTCTACGCATATAATAAGCAGGAGACATTTTAATTTTCTCCCTGAGTTTAGAGATCATTCAGTATCCACATAAATATATTTCATTCTTTTTAAAGATGCATTCATACTACAGATGAATCAGTCAATAGGCATCAGCTCTCTTCTGAGAAACATTTGGGCTATTTCCAGGTTACAGCTATTTCAAACAATGCTGCAATGAATATATTTCTAAAAAAGACCTTTATAGCCTAACAATATTCAGTTATGGGAGAAATAAATTCAAGACATCTACTGTACAACACTGTAACTACTGTATTGTTGAGAATGCTAAAGGGTAGATTCTCTAAGTTTTCTCACTATAAAAGTAACAACTTATGTGAGGCAATATGTATGTTAATTAGATTTATTTAGCAATTCCAATGTGTATTTATTCCAAAACATCGTATTTTACAAGATAAATACAATTTTGTCGATTTAAAAAAGTACATAAAATAAAAATTTAGCAGAGCTTTACACACACACAACACGTATATATTAGTATTCCAAGAAGTGAAATCACCAAATCAAAGAATATTTGTAATTTTTATTTTGATTTTTGTCAAACTGTCAAGCAAAGTGACAAGACTCAAAAAGTTTCAAACTTTGGCACTGGGTTTCTGGTTTTCTTTTTTTGGCATTAAAAAAAAAATTGGTTCTAATTAGTCCAATTTTCAACATTTACACATGGTAAAGTCTATGTAAATATTCCAAAATCTAAAATCTGAAATGTGTCTGGTCCTAAACATTTCAGAATAAGGGATATTTAACCTATATACTACATTTAGTTTTAAATGAGTATCCTTGTCTCTGTATTTTTCTATGAGCCATCTGTTCATGCTCTTTGTCTGTTTTCCTTATTGTTAGCCTTTAAAAATACTTTAGAGTAACGAAGTAAACTAATTTCTATCTAGAAAAACACCATATATTTGGATGAAATAACTTCCAGCAAATTTGTTTGTAACCAAGTTCTCTTCTGTCATCTATAATATTCTAGTGTTTAGTAATCAAACTTTCATATGGATTATTACCTCTCATGTGTCATTAACAAAGACTGACTAATTTATTAATTGATTTGTGGGAGAGAGGTGAGAAAGCAGAGAGAAGAAAGGAAAGAATCAAACTTAAAACTATGTATGAATGAAAGTAGAATCTTTGGACAGTGTTAATTACAGTGCCAAGTAATTGTGCCAAGCAAAAAAGACAAAATTGTTTATTTGCCTAAAATTCTAAAGGTTCCACCTTAATATTTTGGTTTTTCTCACTATAAAATATTGCAAATATGTAAAGGTCTATGTTGCTGTTGGGAGTGCTGGGGAAAAATTTGGCAAGGGTTAGTAACATAATATTTTGTGTATTTTTTGTATACTTGAAAGATTTCCTGCAAATGAATTTGTTTTAAGCAGCCTGCATTATAAATGCCTACCAGTGACTGGATGTAGGACCTTATCCTGCTGCTTGTTTGGAGCCTGCTGCAGGGGGTACAAGGCTGTCCAGCTGTTGGCGATGTCCTGTATTAATCAACCACTCATAAAACTTATTCTCCACAAGTACCTGGAACTGCTTCCTTTGATCCCTAAAATTGTATTTGAGAGAAAAAATAATGTTAGAACACTAATTCACATAATTTTACTTCAAGTGATAGCAATTTTAATGGGAGCATGTTAAATGAATATCTCAAGTTATCTCACTCTGTTCACAGTACATTAGATCACCATCACTAGTTGGGGGGATTGGTCAGATACAATTTCATCTTTGTCATGACTTATTCCCTATCAGATATTCATTAAGGGCCAAGTTAATGCTGGGCAGTGTTTCAACTAATGTGAACAAACCTATAAATAAAAGGGAAGAGGTAAGTCCTGTTTGGGCAGCCTGATGGTGAATGACTCCAGAGGGCACCATGCACATTGTGATCTGTATGATCTATGTCTTACAGACTGTATATTCTAGTAGAGAAGACAGATAAGAAGCAAAATAAATGTTATGATATAACATAACTGAAGTACTGGTAATTTCTACCTAATAGTAGGAAGGAAATAATCTCAAAATGAAAGACAGTATTTTACATTGAGTAAATTGAGCTCTTTAAAAAAACACTGTACTTATTTTTTTTACATTTTACCATTAGGAAAAACTTTGATAAAAACAGGCATTGAGTGCCTCAGAGACAAATAGAGCAAAGAAAGAGAACAGAGAGTACTGGGAATACTATTTTTCAAAAAGGACAGAAGAGGCCTCTTGAAGATGATACTGGAAGAGAGGTCTGAATGAAGTTATGGAAGAAGCACAATGATTACCTGGAAAGGATTGCCAGGCAGAAGAAACAGAAATGACAAAGGCTCTAAAGTAAGACCAAATTTAACATGTTCAAGATAAAAGAAGCCGGGAGGCAGTTTAACACTATCAGTTAGGCCGTGGTGCGGCTAAGATCTGGCCTAGCTGTGATGTTTTTCTGTTGATCTCAAAACAATTCCACAGAACACTAACAGAAGACAAGGCCACCGGGGATGATGAAAGACCAAACAAGTACAAGAATACTCCATAATCATATCTCATTTCAGAGGAAAATATAAATGTTGTGATCCAAACCACAAAAAATACCAAACACCACCCTTTCCTGGGTAATTTTGACTGCTGCTTCTTTATAATTAAACTCAGTTCTACTTCATTGTTCCCCCACCTAGAGATAAAAATTATTAAGCTATTGATCACAGAAATACTTTCACTTTCAGATGGTATCTAATTCCTATTTCCTAAAACTCTCCTCCCCCAAATCACCTAACACAAACCAAAATCCAATCATACGTTCTTTTTAATACCTTCTTACTGAGATGACAGTTTTCTTCCTCCTTGGACTGCTTCTACAAGCCATCCTAGATCTACATACACATTTGTTTCTTCTGGTCTTTGGCAAGAGAGCAATAACTAAATAATAGCAAGAAGACTTTCATAAGGTGAGAGGGAGTGAAGGAGGCAAAGAATGGCAGAAAATGAGGCAAAGAGGGTACAGACTTCAGATTGTATTCCAAGTAGAGTGGATTATACATAATATATACAATAATTACAGCTGTCTAATACAATAAGCATATAATAAAAAATAAAATATTTAGGGTAATTTCTACCCTACTAGTGGGAAGGAAATAATCCCAAAATAGTATATTAAAAAAGATAGTATTTTACACTGAGTAAATTAAGCTTTCTAAAAACATTGTACTTATTTTTTACATTTTATCATTAGGAAAAACTTTGATAAAAACAGGCATTAGTCTGTGGATCAGCATTAGATAGACACACCACAGACTAAATAAGTGGTGTGTCTATCTAAATAAGTCTGTGGTGTGGTGGAGCCAGAGAAATCTGTATTTTTAACACTCCTTAGAGAATTTTGATGTATATCCAAATTTGAGAACCATTAGTATAACAACTAAAACTAATCCACTTAAGTATTCAATTATGTGGCATATTTTACATTTCTTTAATTCATATAAATATCTGTCAACTAAACTTACCTTAAAAAAAAAAGGAGTCTAACACTTGAACATCTGTTCCTTCCCATCCCAACAATGTTTAAAATACTGACCTGAAATGCAAGTCTTAACAAAAGGCACATTATATTTACTAATTACTTTAGTTCAGCTATAAGTAGGTGCAGATTAATTTTTCCCACATGGGGTTTCAAAGAAAATACAATTACTCCTAGAAAACACTTACTTTGTTAAACGAGCCTCCTTCACAGTTTTTTGCCAGATCTGTATTTTCTGTTCTCTTTGACTCAGTGCTTTCTGATAAGCAGATGGAAGACCCCCAGGTATCTCTGTTGTGTCCCCTTCCATTTCGAAGGGAATAATAAATATATAGAATTCAGAAGGTGGTAAGAGCTGGAACACACTTGTGTCGCTGTTCTCTCTACATACAACCATTGGATTATTCCAATAATTAGGCACCGTAGCAAGGCCTGTCCTGGCCATATGGTCCTCTAGCATTGGATAGTGGGTATGAAAAGGGGCAAAAGTTACTCTCTGGTTCCCAGAGAGAATAAGTGGGCGTGTAGGGGTCAAAATGTGAAAGATGCAACCTGTTGTTGAGGAGATGGACAAACGATGGCAAACAGCAATGACTTTGACATTGTCACAACTATGGAGATGAAGAGCAGTCTCTATGGGGCCCAAGACAAAGGTGCTATTCCTGCACTTCTCAATTGTTACAGATCTGAAAAAATAAAGAAATGAGGTAAATTCCTCTGAATAAGATACAAAAGTTGCCTAAAATAATAGTATCTGAAGAAAAAAAATCTATCCTAGTCCAAAGAACATGGCAAAATGTCAGAACACTAAGATTGTGCTTACCGTAAAGGAGAGAGAAGATATATAAAAGATTCATTGCAGCGATGAATCTTGACATGCGCCCCCACCAGAGTATCTGAGCTCTTGGCCAATGTCTGCTTGTAAACCTGGCTCATCACTACCAGGCGATGCATTCTAGGGGCCATGTGAGTATTACAAGCAATCTTAGCTCTTTTGGTCGTACCTTCCACTATTTAAGAAAACAAATAAATGAGACAGTTTCAAACCAAGGGGAAAAAACCAACTATATGAGGTTAGACTAGGCTATATCGTAAGATACATGTGGGGGAAAAAATATAAGAGCTGGGCATTGGCTAAAGAGGTATTTGCTATATTAATCTCTATTCTTTTCTGTGTATTTGTAATCTTTCATAATTTGTTACCAAAAATTTAAAACCTATAAACCACTCAAAAAATGCCAAAATATTTAAAACTTTTTTCATGTCTACCTTTCAAGTTATGCCCCTAAAGTCACATAGTTAGAAAGTGGCAGAGTTGACCCCACTCAAATATCTCCTGCAATATGTCTTTATCATCCCATCCATAATCTCTCTAAGTTGTCCTAATATTAATTCTAATTTATTCCTAATATTAATTTTAATTTACTTAACAGTAACATTCCATGAATTTTAAATGAGTTCATGTCTCCCAAGACCATTACTGCCTGAGAGCACATGTTCCCTTAAACACAGTGTCTTGCACAAACTGACACAAAACATCTGTGCAAGTTGCCCTCCTAACATAATTCCAATACTATGTGACTGGGTTCTCAGACTGTATTTTTCTGTGAGTCATCAGGACACCCTGTAAATAACACTGGTCAAATGTGAAAAAGTTAGATAAATACATCATTCTTCTTTTAAAAAATCAATTAATAATTTTCAATTATATATGACATATACATATACATAATAGATGGTTAATGCAGAAAAATAAAAGTAAAGGAAAATAAGAATAATTGGTGATCCAATTATCACTGTTAACATTTTAATAAAATCTTACGAGGTTGGATATTTTTTCTTTTTTTTCCTACTAGTGCCTAATCTAAGAAGGTTCAAAAACTTGCTTAAACTTGTCTGGAACACCAAGAATTATGTATTATCTTCTATATATTTATGGGAGCTATTCACATTTAAAAGTTTCTGACCTCATACTAGAGCAGTAGCTTGGTTGAATATAGTAGTATTCTTGGATTACAATCATTTTGCTCCAGATTCTGTAGATGGTGTTCAGCCATTTTCTATTAAGAGTTATAAAAATCTGGGTTAGAGTTGCAGCTCAGTGGCAGAATGCTTGCCTAACCTGTGTGAGGCACTTGGGTTCAATCCTCAGTACCACATAAAAATAAATTATAAAAAAAACAAAGGTACTGTGTATATTTACAACTAAAAGATATTTTTTAAAAAAGTTATAAAAATCTGATGCAAAACTGTTATATATATATTTTTTAACATTGGCATGGAAGCTTTCTTTGTGTGTGTGTGGGGGGGTTACTGAGGACTAAACCCAGGGGCTCTTTACCTTGAGCTACATTCCCAGTCCTTTTTTTTTTTTTAAGTTGTTCATGGACCTTTATTTTATTAATTTATTTATATGTGGTACAGAGAATCAAACCCAGTGCTTCATAGATGCTAGGCAAGCACTCTATCATTGAGCTACAACCCCAGCCCCTCAGCCCTTTTTATTTCTAATTTTGAGGCAGTGTCTTGCTAAGTAGTTGATCCTTCTGCCTCAGCCTACCAAGTCTCTGGGATTACAGGCGTATGCTACTACACATTGGTTAGAAGCTATATTTGTTGCTACTTTGAAATTAGAGATTGAGGAAATATATTCTAGAGCATTTTTTTTTCATTTATTTTGCCTGCATTTGCCTATAGAGATGTATGTTCGGTGCTTCTTCTCTTAAAACTTATACATGGTCCTAGGAGTCATTCAACACCTGAACCTATTCATTTACCCATTGCTGCACTATCAGGAATAGATACCTGATGCAAACAACACCAGATTCTCTCTACTAAAACTTAAATTTCCAATTTAGAAACATTGACTGTGCTTGGTTCTATGTAGTTAAAACAGATCTCATTTCTACACCAACTCTGAGGTGATTACTGTTACTATTTGGTTATTTTAGGATGACCAAAATCTGCTGTTGTTAGAAAATAAAAAAAGTCTGAAGCAAATGAGCATACAAGAGTGAGAGGGAGACAGAATTGGAGAAAAGCATAACAAAAAGAGGACTAACTACATTTGGAGTTTGTTAACTAACCAAACGAGCCTTGACTAATAAACCAGCTGAGATTTCTACTCCCTTGAGGGAGAAAGCAGTGTACAAAAGATAGATATTCCCCCTTTCTCTTTTATAGTAGCAGTATTTTTTATTTTTAGATCCTCTGCAAAAAAGATGCTGATCATTAATACATTAGAAAACTAGGTTCCTTAACTTGTAATTCAAAATCGACTGAAATATTTCAAAAGTACCTTGGTGAGCCCAAGCCAATTTTTTTCCTGACTTGAGGCAAGCAGATGTACCAAATGGATTCCCAGTTAAGCAAGCTCTCAACCAGGCTTCCAGTTTGTAGAAAGAGAAAGTCTTGGAGATCTTTGAAAAGCCACTCTCTGCATGCAGTGGTTGCCACAGTGCAAGTTCATGAAGTGGATAGATCTTCCTGGCTGTACTCACTGTGCCTTCAATAAGAAAGCTGAGTGCCACAACAGCTTCTCGAGAGACGAGACTACTATGAGTTGAATGAAACGACGCAGTAAGTTGTTCTGGATCTAAAAGCAGCTCAAGGAGATCTGACAGATGATCAGAGACAAAAGCTTGATGACTATAATCATTCCAGTTCTAAAAAAAAATAAAAAAATAAAAATTAAAACCAAAAAATTAAAAGAAGCATTTTTAATAGAACTATGAGATTCTATTAAGATCTAAAATTTTTATATTTTAGTTATTTTACATTCATATTCATAGTTTGCCTTATTCCTCCCACCCCCAAAATTTAGATGGCTATACATAGCAACTTTTTTGCCTGTATATGTCAGATATAATAGATTCTCCCTTTACATTAAATAATTCAAAAGCAATACACGATGCTGGGCATGATGGTACCTTTCTGTAATCCTCAGCTACTCAGGAGGCTGAGGCAGGAAGATTATGACTTTGAGGCCAATCTGACAACTTAGCAAGACCCTATCTCAAAATAAAATAAAAAGGGCTGGGGATATAGCTTAGTGATATAATGCCTAGCATGCTCAAGCACCTGGGTTCAATCCCCATCACTGCAAAACAAACAAAAAACAAAAGCAATACAAGTTGAATATCCCTTATATCAAATGCTGAGATGAGATGTATTTAATTCAGACCTGGGATTGTTTTTGAATTTTGGAAATGTGTTTATATATAAAATGAGACATCTTGGGGATGGTACCAAGAAATTAATTTATACACATAGCCTGAAGGTAATTTTATATAATAGTTTTAGTATGCCTGCATTCTGACTGTCATCTGTCTCTTGAAATCAGGCATGAAATATTCTATTTGTGGTATAAAATTGTTGCTCAAAAAGTTTCAAATTTTGGAGTATTTTGAATTTCTAATTTTCAGTAAGGGATGCTCAACCTATAATAATAGCTCTTAGTATGTAGTAAGCATTAAGTTTTATATATACTTTAACATATTAAATTCTAATAATAATACTAAAATAGACACTATTATCATAGCTATTTTACAGATGAAGAAACGGAGCTACAGAAAGGTTAAGATATTCTCCCAAAGTCACAGAGCTAGTAAATACTTTTAAAGTTTCAGGTTAAATATATAAATAGTCACCAAGGACATTCAGTCAATGAAGCACTGGGTTTCTTAACTGACTTTCTCTAATAGTGTATGAAATTTCAAATTTTATACTGGGTGAAATGATCATACTAGATCTAAGAGAAATTGCAACTTTGGGAATAAGCTTTGAGTTAGCAGATAACCCAGTGATTTGGCTTATTCATTTGATGGGTATTTTTTGAGCATCTCTTAATTGGCTTGAGCAATATTAAATGATAAATATGTAAACTGAATAATCTCAAAGAGTCTGTGTGGTAAGAAGACAATTTAAATAAATAATAACTGCACAGTGAAATAAGACCTATATTAGTGATCTCTAAAAATATCCTACGAGCATGAGAGAAACAAATAACTCTACCTGGGGAAAAAAATCAAGGTGGAGGGCTGGGGTTGTGGCTCAGTGGTAGAGTGTTGGCCTAGTACACCTGAGGCATTGGGTTTGATCCCCAGCACCACAATAATAATAATAAAAAAAACTAAATAAACAAAATAAAGGTATTGTATTCATCTACAACTAAAATATAAAAAAATCAAGATAGAGCATTGCTTGAAAGATTCTTGAATGATGCTGGTGGTCAGGCAAACAGATAAGAAAAAAAAAGGCATTCTAGGCATAGGTAACAGCATGTGAAAAGTGAAAATACCACTTTGTTCAGAAAACTGGAAGTTCTGGGTGAAATAGAAAGCACGGGGGAAAGTAACAGCTGGAATCATAGAGAGCAATAGTGAAAGACCTTATACAAATTATTAAAACATCAGGATTTTATTTTATGTGCCAGGGACTTTCCAATTATTTTCTAAATAACTATACTTGTTTTTCTTTTAAGTAAATTCTCATACGGATCACAAAGAAAAAAAATCAAAGCACAGTTATCCTCAGTTTCAACCTGATTCCTTCTTTTTGCTGCATTCCTCTTCCCCAAAGTATGCCCTGAGATGGTTCTAAGAGTACAACAAGAAAACTACAATGATACAGAGAATTCACTGATAGGAGTTCAGACAGGAGATGAACATAATGCACCTGCATTTTTTTTTTTTAAAGAGAGAGTGAGAGAGGAGAAAGAGAGAGAGAGAATTTTTAATATTTATTTTTTAGTTCTCAGCGGACACATCTTTGTTGGTATAAGGTGCTGAGGATCGAACCCAGGCCGCACGCACGCCAGGCAAGCGTGCTACTGCTTGAGCCACATCCCCAGCCCTGCACCTGCATTTTTACAAAGTCTAGTATGGCAGACTAAAAGTAGGGTGACCAGATAGAACCTAATGACATAAAATAGGCAAAAAGGAAAAAAGTCAGAGCTGGGTGGGGTGGTTCATGCATGTAAACCCAGTGACTCAGGAAGCAGAGGCAGGAGGATTGCAAGTTCAAAGCCTCAGCAACTTAGACCTTCTTGAAATAAAAAATAAAAAGGGCTAAAGATGTGGCTCAGTGATTAAGGGCCCCAGAGTTTAATCCCTCGTACCAAAAGAAAGAAAGAAAGAAAAAAGTCAGATAAAGGGAAGAACAGGAACCTATTTTGAGGCAGAATTAGTTAAGACCTGACAACTAATTAGACAAGGGTTAGGGGAAAGAGCCAGTATGGGTAGATCAGTGGTAACTTCTACTAGAAGTTATAGGGAACTGTAACTATATAGTTAACTATATAGCTCTATAGTTATATAGAATAGTGAGAAAAAGTTAACTCAAGTAAAGATAGGTTGTATTGAAGGGACATATGGTTGTCTCCCCAATAGAAAAAGGCTGCATCAGAACAGGAACTGGAAATCCACTTCTCTTTCAGAGGCCAATGAGCCTCTGCTTATCTGTTCCATTCTCTCCTATTTCTCTGATGAGAAGCATCCTGTACTTCACTGATTATTTTAATTTCTAATTCTCATAACTTCTCAAAAGTTTATGAGTATGGTGGCTATTCTAACGGATTTCAATGCCTCGTGAGTTTTTAGCTCAAACATATATCACTAACTGGTAACTTCTTCAGTCCCTAAGGCGACTGATAGCCCAAGTCATCATTTTAAGTCAGACCATTTCAAATGAGCTACTCTACTCAAGTGTCCTGATCTAATCAGTTGTTGGAGAGATCAGGTTATAATAGCACAAACCAGAGTTGCCACTGCCTGGTGCTTACTATGCAACAAGTCTCATGGTAATATATCACTGATTCTTGGCCAATCAGAAATAGGCACTAATACTCCCATTTAAAAAGGAAAAGCCAAGACAAGTTAACTGATCTGCCTAAAACCATATTATTATTTATTGGTAGAGCCAGATCTGAATGCTGGCTACCTTGGTTCAAAACACCATCTCCTAAGAGTACCCATTTTGTAGGAACTACATGGACAGAGAGCATAGTGACTTGTATCGCTAATGCATCTGGATTTGGACAGTATAATTTTTTTTTTTTTTTTTTGGTACCAAGGATTTAACTCAGGGTCACTCACCACTGAGCCACATCCTCATCCCTATTGTGTATTTTATTTAGAGACAGGATCTCACTGAGTTGCTTAGTGCCTCACCATTGCTGAGGCCGGCTTTGAACTTGTGATCTTCCTGTCTCAGCCTCCTAGGCGGTTGGGATTATTACGGGTATGTGCCACTGTGCCCAGCATGGACAGTCTAAATTTAAGGTATAGCTTGGCCGTTTATGTGAATATCAGGCAAGAGCTCTAGCATGGAGACGAACTTGGACATCACTGAGTTATATAGAGTAGAGGGAACAATTATACTGAATGAAGTAGGAAGAGAAAATTGCCTCAGGCAGAATACTGACAAGTAAGGGCCAACGGGAAAGAAACCTATGAAGACAAGTGAGAAGGAAGAGTATGATATGTCAAGATCATTGTATTGTCTTGAGCGACCATTAAAAAAAAAAAAAGTAGAACCAATAAAGTATAGTATCATGGAATATAAGAAAAGGCAGACTTATTAAAAAGGAGATTATAAAGTGCCAGATATTAAAGGGTTTTTTTTAAGTTTCAGAACATTTTTAAAGAGCCTACACATGATATTAATACTATTTATATTTTACTTAAGTGTTTTAAAATACTGCCACAATAAAAGAAGTAAAATCCTTTCTGTTTTTCTTTACAAAAATGAAGAAAAAAGATATTTTCTAAAACTCACAATGTGAGGCAGTTACTATTTAGATTGTTAAAGTTATAAAATTACTTAGGCATGACTAAACAATAAGATAGTTTTAGAGATTTTTTTCAGTATATTTCAATAAACTTTATAAATACTACATCTTCTTATTTATCCTTAGTCAAATAAATGGATTTAATCTCATTAACAATTGTAAAAATGGGAATGCTAATGTAATACAGTGAAAAATTTGCCCCTAAATCATGAGATTTTTATACCAGTGAAGGAACTAAAACCATTCTGATTAAGACTACACATATTGATTTTATAACTAGAATTATAAAAAGTAGAAAGCAAAAAAATAAAACAAACCATCAAATCACTAGCCTATACAGCCCAATATAATTTTTAATGGTGAACCATCTTTTTTCAGAAATTGTCCAATTCAATGAAAGAGATCAAGAAAAACAACAGTACCTTATTATGACAATTGGATTTTTCTGTCAGGTCGGGAGACTGAGATCTGCTTCTGGGACTAGGCCATTCTTCTCCAATCAAAGATGTCCTCAGGGAAACCTTATTTAACTGTTGTATGTATAAAAACAGTAGAAACTGTAGAGTGTCCACTGAAAGCTGTTTAAGAGGAAAATAAGGATGAACACATGACTTAAATCAACATTAAATCAATCATTAATCTACAACTAAGTAGATACAATAAACTTAAGTTCAAAAAACAGTTTACTGATCCTAAAAAATACTTCAGAAACATTGCTAGGATTTCATATGCATTCTCTGATACCCAGATGCAGGAGTGTCTACAATGGATCTCAAGTCACTTTGTAAAAAATCATAGAAATTTTTTCCCAAAATGAAAAGTAAAGGATGAAGAATATACTTAAGTACATTATTACAGAAGTTTAATCTTATAGTTAAAAAAAAACACCTTAATTTGAATAAGTAAATGAACAGATATAAGGGGGAAAAAAAGAAAATTTGGTCAAAATACAAAGGTTCAAGATAAGTTTCACAAACTTACCACAAAAGTTCAGGATATCTGTGTAATAACTGAAACTGTATGTAATTTCTTGGTGTATGTGCATTTTGTGAGGGGAGTAGGTCTCAGGTTTTCATAAAGTACTTAAGAAATATAAAGAAAAAATAATGCTACTGGTCTGATAGCTATACAATGTCATTTCTTATTTGAGAAAGGGTGTAGTTTGAAGCTCACAATTTGAAGTTCACAATTACCCTTAAGTACCCATCCCCATCTCCCACATAAGAAAGGCAAAGAAGTGAAGTGATACATCTTAGTCTACAGTTATACCTCATTTCCAAGGTGGCTAAAAATTGCTATCTGAGGAATTTAAAAATACAGACACTTAAAAATACAGATCCTCAGGATCACCCAGATCTATTCAACCAATGGTCAATGTGGGATCCCATGAAAGCATGTATTTAGTAATTTTTTACTCTATAAACTCTTTAAGATAACTCAAGTTTCACATGCAGTTGTAAGATCTAATATAGAGAGATCCCATGTAAATTTAACCCAGTTTATAACCTTGCAAAACTACAATACAATGCCACAACTATGACATTAACATTAAAGTAGTCAGGAAAGAGAATATTTCCATCAACAAAGGGAGCTCTCTTATTGCCCTTTTATAGCAATACCCACTTCCCTGCCACCCTCTCATCCCTTCCTTAATCCCTGGTAACCTCTCATCTAACCTCCATCTCTATAAATTCTGTTATTTCAAGAATGTTACCCCCCCACACACACAAAAAAACCATTACATAAATGGAATTACAGAGTATATAACCTTTTGATATTGGCTTTTTCATCAAGGTAATTCCTTGATTTTATACATACTTCCATTTAATACTTTTTATTATTTTATTATATTCTTTATATGGTCTACCCATTAAACTATAAAATTCTTGCTTTATCCATTTTTAAAGCACTAGTAACTAGCATAGAATATGCTACATAATAAACACTCAAAAAATTTGTAACTTCTTGAAGGTCTTACTTCATCTCTATATCTGTAGCATCTACTTCTGTACCTAGCACATAGTAGGCCCTCAATATTTCATTGATGAATAACTGCAATGCCTCATCCCTCCTGGTTGCATGATAAACTTTTCAATTTCCAAAAGCTTTAGCTTTTCTATGTGGCAGAGACTGGCTAAATGTTAACTCCTTTTTCTCCTCTTTGAAGGGCACACTGCGTCCCTTGCAGTTAGATATGGTATAACTGAATTACAGTCAATAAATGTGGGTGAATTTACAGTTATATCTGCTATTTTCAAGCCTGACCCATAAAATTCTCCAAAAGAAATCGAAGCAAAAGATGACTCTGAAGGCCTAATAGACACGGTTGTGGCAAACCGTATCACTATTTGCAATTGTTCACCTCCCCATCTTTCAAGAAGCTAATATAGCCATACTCATTGCCATGAGATTTCCCATATTTCCTGTGAGATAGTTTACCTTCCTACCTCATTGACTTTATGCATGTGACAGAGCTTTAGCCAATGGAATAATATTAGGTTGTTTTATATTACATCTGAATATAAGTCTTTTTTTTTAGTTGTAATAGACACAATATCTTGCATTTATGTATTTATTTATGTCTACATGGTGCTGAGGATGGAACCTCAGGTCTTGCACGTGCTAGGCAAGCGCTCTACCACTGAGCTACAACCCAAGCCCTGAATATAAGTAAGAGGCATCATGAGAGGCCAGAAAGAAATTCATACACATATAGTAAACTAACTTTTGACAAATGTGACAAGAATGCAAAACAGGGAAAGGATAGTCTCTCCTACAAAAGATATTAGGAAAACTAGATATCCATATGCAAAAAAAGAGAAAGAAAGAAAGAACTGGGTCCAAAGCTTAGACCACATACAATCAACTAAAAATGGATTAAGGACTTAAATGCAACAACTAAATTAGTAAAAACTTCTAGAAGAAAAATAGGAAAATTTCCTTGATATTGGTCTTGGTATGATTTTTTTGATACGATACCAAACCAATGGTTACTGTCCTAAGCCACTAAAATGCTGTGATTATTTGTTACTGTAATTAACATACTTACTTTGTAAAGTCTTTCCTTATCACCAGGCAACAAAAGCAAAAATAAACAAGTGGGATTAAATCAAACTAAAAATCTGCACAGAAAAGAAAGACATTGACAAAATGAAAAGGAAACCTGTGAAACGAGAAAAGATATTTGCAAATCCTATATATTTGATAAAAGTTAGTTTCAAAAATATATAGCAGACTCATATAACTCAAAGGCAAAAAAAAAAAAATCAAATAGCCCAGTGAAAATTAAGCAAAGGACCAGAAAAGTCATTTCTCCAAAGACATCAAAAAGCTCACAGGTATTTGAAAGGTGTTCAACATCACTCATCATTAGGGAAATGCAAATCAAAACCATAAGGAGATATCACCTCACATGTTAGGATGTCTATTATTTTTTTAGAAAAGTGAAATATTAACAATCATTGGCAGGGATGTAGAGAAAAGGTAACCACTCTGGTACTGTTGGCAGGAATGTAGATTGATACAGCAATTATGGAATACAGGATGGAAGTTCCTTGAAAATTAAAAACAGAACTACTATATGATCAATCTCACTTTTGGCTACTTAACCAAAGAAACTGAAATCAAATCAAAACTCTCGTGTTGACTTATCATTACTGACAATGGCCAAGATACAGAAACAATTTAAATGCCAATCGACAGATAAATGGATAAAGAAAATGTGATGTGTGTGTATGTATATCCATAGAATGGAATACTATTCGGCCTTTAAAAAGAAGGAAATTTCTGCCATTTTCAACAACATGGATAAAGCAGAAGGACATTATGCAAAGTGAAATAAGCCAAATGCTGAAAAACAAAACTATATAACCTCCTTGTATGTTGTGTTAGTCTACTTTCTGTTTCTATAACAAATTCTATAAAGCAGATTACTTTATAGCAAAAAGAGATTTCTTTAGTTCTAAAGGTACATAGTTCTAGTGGTACAAGGTTAGAAGGGCTGCAACGGGTGATGGTTTTCTTACTATAGCCCAAGGAGGTCCAGGGCATCACATGGCAAGAAACAGTGAGTGTGTTTATGTGTCTGTATCTGTGTGCTCTCTCCCTGTCTTCTTAGATAGCCATCAGTATTCAATCATGGGTGGGCTACCCTAATGACCTTATCTAGTCCTAATCATTTTCCAAAGGCCCCATCTCCTACACCACAGCCAACAGATTAAAGTTCTACCCTCTCTATTCCTCATAATGGGGAATAAATGTGAACAAAGGAAGCTTTAGGGGGCACTCAACTCATCCAAATTGCAGCATACATGGAATCTAAACTAGTCAAGCTCAAAGAAGTAGAGTAGAATGCTAACTGTAAAATGCTGGACAGATGAGAAATGGAGAGTAATGATCAAAGGCTACAAAGTTTCAGTTATGCAAGATATTTAGTCTTAAGAGACAAGGCATGGTGCTTATAGCTAACAATACCGTATTGTACAGGTAAAATTTTTTCTAAAAGGGTATATAAATATTCTTAAAACACACAAATCGTAATGATGATAATAATAATAAATAGAGGTAGGGGAAATTTGGGGAGGTGACAGATGTTAGTCTATAGCTTTAACCCTTGACAATATTGGGTAATGGTTTCATAATATATATACTTATCCCCAAACTCATAAAATTGTCTTCAAAACAAGGGGGAAAAAAGCACCATGATTTCCTTCTGCTTTGTCACTCCTCCCTTCTGTTACAAGAATAGGCATGACCTATAAGAAGCTGTTTCTTCAGCTTGAATTCCCAAATGAGAGGACACATAAAGTCAATCACAGCCTGGAAGAAAGATATAGCTAAAGTGCAGCCTACATCTTAAATAGGAAAAAAGTAAACCTTTGTTACTAAAATTTCATTGTTTTTTTTTCCTGCAGAAAAGCTGATTAATATGAATAGTGACTCAAAAATACAGAAACATGGGTCCCTAAATTACAATGTGTATATATATTCCATTGTGTATATATACCACATTTTCCTTATCTATTCATCTTCTGAAGACACCTAGGATGTTTCCATAGTTTAGCTATTGTGAGTTGAGCTGCTATAAATATTGATGTGGCTGTGTCACTGTAGTACGTTGATTTTAAATCCTCTGGATATAAATCAAGCAGGGGGATAGCTGGGTCAAATGGTGGTTGCATTCCAAATTTTCTGAGGAATCTCCATATTGCTTTATGAATAATTATTTTAAACATCAGCTACCCCTACTAATTTATGAGTTCCATGAGGGCAGAGATGCTGTCTGTTATGATTTGTATGTGGTTTGTCTCCCAAGGGTTGGTGTGCTGGAAGCATGGTCCGGTGATGTTAAGAGTGGGGCCTAGTGGGATGATATTAGGTCTTGCTAGGGGCATTGCCCTCAGAAAAGATTAAGGTCCTTGCTGTTCTAACTAGTTGTTATAAAAAAGCAAGATTGGCTTCCATCCTCCCTTTAGACTTCCAGTGTCCCCCTGTGATCTTTCCCTCTTGCACTGCTTCCACCATGATGCCATCTGCCATGTGACACAGGAGATCCCTGCCAGAGCCAGCACCATAGAGTCTATATTCTCAGTGTGAGCTAGCTAGGTATGATAGTGCACACACCTGTAATCCCAGCAGTTTAGGAGAGTGAGGCAGGAGGACTGCAAGTTCAAACCCAGCTTCAGTAACTTGGCAAGGCCCAAAGCAACTTAGCAAGATGCTGTCTCTAGATAAAATATTTTTTTAAAATGGGGATATGGCTCAGGGTTAATTGCTTCTGGGCTCAATCCCTGGTACCAAAAAAAGAGAGAGAGAGAGAGAGAGAGAGAGAGAGAGAGAGAGAGAGAGAGAGAGAGCGAGCGAGCGCACGCTAAAGAAATCTTTTTTAATTTACCCAGCCTTAAATATTTGGTTATTGTAACAGGAAATGTACTAACACAAATTGGTACCAAGAGTACGGTTGTGTGTAATGATTACCTGAAAATGTAGAAATGACTTTTAAAGTGGGTAATGGGCAGAAACTGGAAGTGTTTGGAGAAAGAGGTTAAAAAATGCCTATAATGGTATAAATGGAGTATTACAGGTAATTCTGGTGAGAGCTCAGATGACTCAGGACTAGGGAAGAGCTAGAACATCTTAGCAACTGGATAAGTAGTTGTAACCAGATTCAAATGAGGAATATTCCAATAGAAATTGAAGTAAACATTACCTTTGTCACACCATTACAAAGAACTTGGCTGAACTGTGTCCATACTAGAGCTTTATAGAAGTCTGAGTTTAAAAAAGATGAACTGGAATGTCTGGCAGAGGAAATCTCTAAATAACCAAGCATTTCGGCTGATGCTTGGTTATTTTTAACTACATATAGTAGGATTTAGGAGCAATGGAATGTATAATTTAAAGAGAAGTAGAAGGCAGGGGCTGTAGCTCAGGGGTAGAATGTTTGCCTACCACGTGTGAGGCATTGGGTTCGATTCTTAGCACCACATAAAAAAACAAATAATGTCCATCTACAATTAAAAAAAATTTTTAAATTAAAATAATTTAAAAAACAATAAAGAGAGGTAAACCAACTTTGAAAAAAATCATAGCTTGGCCAGTAAAGGAGTACGTCCTAGCAATCTCTTGTTAAAGATATGAGCATGAGCGGATAAAACAAGGCCAAATGCTGTGCATCAGGACAATAAGGAAGAGTCCTGAAAGGTATCTCAGAAATCTGTGTGGTTGCCTCTTCCCTCTCAGACCCAAAGGCCTAAAAGGGAAGAACTGTTTCAAGGAGAGCTCCAGGTGCTCTACCTAGGCTTACTGCCCAGGGCCCACTCAGGATTCTGCTCCCTGCTTTTCACAGAAGTGATCCAGTTATGGTTCTAGCAGGTTGAGGTGCAGCTCATGACACCATTCCAAAGGAATGGAAGACCTTGGTATGCAAATGGTGCCAATTCTGAAGATGTGCATAACTTGAGAGCTATGAAGTTATTGCAGTTTTTGCCAAAATTTCAAAGCTAAGCCTGGAAGGCCAGGCAGAGAGTTCTGCCCAAAACTATGAAGTAACCAGCATGCAATGCCAGTCCGATAGAGCTGCAATCATGAAATTTCAAACTGAGAGCTGAGGGTGGATTGAGTCCAGCAAAGCCAGAGGACCAGGACTACCTTGGAAGCCTAAACTCAGCTTGCAAAGGATGCAGGACCTGAAGTTTTAAGATTTAATGTCTGCTCTGCCAGGTTCTGGAAGGCTTTGGGACAGTTACTATGCTCTACTTGTCTATTTATTTAGAAATGAGAATGTGTACGTACCCTGGGCTTTCCACCACTGTATATTAGAAGTAGATAACTTATTTTAATTTTTCAGGTTCAAAGCTGAAAAAAGATTGCCTTGAGTCTCAAATGAGACTTTGGACTTTTGAATTGATGTTGGATCTAGTTAAGACTTTGGTACTATTTGGATGGAACAATTATGTTTTGTATGTGAGGACAACATGAGTTATAGGGCATGAGGGGCAGAATGCTATGGTTTGTCCTCTCTGAAAACTCAAATTTAATTGGAAAATTAAATATCTCCAAATTTAATCCCCATTATGAGGAATTAAAAAGGTAGAAACATAACTTATGGTGTTTAGAAATAGGATCTTTGGAAAGTGATTAAAAACAGATAAGGTCATCAGGGTGGAGCTCCCATGATTGTACTGATGGCTTTATAAAAGGGAGAAAGACTAACATACACACATACTTGTGATGCCTGGCACTGCCTCAGACTATGCCCACAAGAAGACCATCACATTATATGGCACCTTGACTCTGAACCTCCAAAACTGTAAGTATAAATAAGATTTTCACCTTATTAACAACAGGGAAGGAGTGAACACGCTGTCCAAACTCTTTGAATCACAGCACATAGTAGATGTTCATTTAAAGTCAGGCACCTCTGACTACAACATGTGTTTCATAATAAAGTCAATGAAAATATTTCCCAGTTTTAACTTCAAGATTCCTGTAACATTATTACTTTGGGAGCAGGCAAAGGATTTGTAAAGACAGACTAATCATTGCCAAACTGGAACTGCTAAAACTCAAATGGTAGGATCACAACAGCGATTAATTTAAAAACTCAAACTATACTGCTAGTACAAAAAAGTTACAATGGTTTATTTTCCAAAGTTATTAAACACTTATACACATTGATCCATACCTGATTTCTCTGCTTTTCAACTTCATCTTCAGACATGCAGTTGGAGAGAATCTCAGACCATTCCAGGCGTTTCTCAGGAGTCCTCACCGAAAGACTATCAAATACTTCAAAGTAAAGCCATGCCAGATCCTTAGCCAACTGCAGTTTCCCACATGCAATGTGCCTCCATGTAGACCAGTAGAGCCGTGGGTAAGCTCCCTCTGTGGCCCGGATTCGCACATAGGTGGCTATCTTCCTGAGATAATGAAGACTGAACTTGGATGGAGGAGGGACCTGCAAGGCACCCACTATAAAGGGTTCTGCTTTTACCCAGAGGAGAACTCCTGACTGATCCATATTACCGCTAAGAACATCTGGATGAAAAGGCTTCTTTGCATACCTAGGAAACAAAGTTTCTTCACGAACTGACTTGAAACATATCTCATTTATACATTTTCCCTGGAAGGTAACCCCTCCCCTGTTTTTCAAAGTACCACATCATCAGTTTTAAAAGCAGCTACAGTTCATCAACCAAAAGCAGAAGAGATTTTTTATTAGACCCCATTATAATCTTTTTGAGGAATAAAATTCAATAAAACAAAATTATCTTATTTGAATTATCAGAAATTTGTTTCAAAAGAGTGTGTAAAGGGATAAAATCTGGGTTGGATCCCGCTCTGGACAGGAAGAAAAGAAGGAAAAAGAGAGAAAAATCATCCTGTCATGGAAAGCTGTGCTCTACTCTGGCAGAGAACATTGTTAGAAAAAAGAATAAAATTTCACAGAGTTAAATCACTTACACATAGAGGACAGTTGGTTAACATTTAGACATGTTAGCTGAACACAAAAACTCAATATGAAACACTAATATGAGGAGCTAACAAAAATGCTCATGTAAACATAGGCTATAAGATAGATCAAGAGATAATAAAGCACCTTTATTCTCTACAATGAACCTGCTCTGGCATATTCTATTGTGCTCAGTTCAGTTGTAGTATTTTTAGACTTTGTTGTTTATTTATATAACTATGATGGATAATTTTATGGAATATGTATAAAACATTTAGGAGGGAATCATCCACACTACCACCACTCAACGGCAACTAGTCAATATTTTATTGTACTTCCTCCTTATCTTTTTTCTATAGACTAGATGTTGTTTTTCATAGTTGTGATAATATATATAATTCTGTATTTAAATACCACAAATATATTCCCATTTACTTTTAGAAACTTACTAGGCTTAAGAGTTTTCATGAAGCCAGGTCTAGGGGCATATGCCTGTAATTCTAGCAACTTGGGAGGCTAAAGCAGGAAGATCACAAGTTAGAGGCCAGCTTCAGCAACTTAGTAACGCTCTAAGCAACTTAGTAAGATCCTGTCTCAAAATAGAAACTAAAAAATGTTGGGGATGTAACTCATTGTTGATGCTGGGCGATGAACTGATGGGGGCTCATGTACATTTTTGCCTTTGTGTATATTAAAAATTTGTTATAAAAAGTTAAAATGTTTTCATTATTATAATACCCTGATTATCATATTTCTGCATATTTTCTGCATTATGAATTATTTCCCAGAGATTTTCAGATGTATAATTGTGAAATGAAGTAACATATTGCTATGCCTCCTGACATAACACTCCTATTGTTTTCAAAATTAACTATTAAAACTGTACCATCATTTGACCAATGGAACCCACTTCACTGAGCATTCCTCAGCATTAACATCATTTAGAAAAAAACTTTCCTTATATGACTGATAAAAAATGTTTCACTGTTATTTTGCGTTTTATTCTAGAAAGTTGTGCTGCTTTTGGAAACTATTTAAAAAAAAATTGATATGGAGTGCTTACTATGTGCCAGATAGCATGCTAAATATTTTGCCTATTTCACCTCCTTTCACCTTCACAACCACCTAGTGATACATGAGTTCCTTCATTTTCAGTTGAGAAACCTGAAGTTTGGAGAAGGGACTTACCAAGGGTCATACACTTAGTTCTCACAGTCCTGGATTAGAAATCAGGTCTGACTAAAGAACTGTGCAGCTACAAACGTACTTTGGGAACCCAGAATGGGAGAATCTCTGGGAAAGGAGTGGGTCCAGAACGGTAGGAAAAGTCTTAAGACATTAAGCCATTTAAGCAACAGGTGAAGGAACATAGGGGTGTGAACTGAAAAGGGTGTGGGAGGGCAAATGGCGGCTGGGTTCGATATGGGAATGGATTGGCGTTGTTCTAAGCACAGCTAAACGATGAAAAGTACATTAGGCAGATCTTAGTTCTCTCCAAAGTGAAAACTGGCTGCTCGTGAGGTACTGAGCTGTTTCAGAAGTGTGCAATCAAAGCCAGATCCTGAAGACGAACCCTTTATTCTAATCCCGAGATTCGACAGGGCTATATTCGCAACCATCAAAACTGGAGCTCTTTCCCTTGAGACGCGCTGGGATAAAGGTTTTCCGGTCGAGAAACAGGCGTGGGCCCAAGGCGCTCGTACAGAGGCTTCGCCACCATCTCCGCAGAGGTCGGGAGTAGGATGTGGCGTGGGCCGCTCGGGCGCAACCACCCTATTTGGTAACAAGATATTCAGCTGACGGCTCAGGAGTGGACCTGAGACCCAGCGAGCTCTAAGGCAGCCTTCCCAGTCTAAGCCCGTGGCCCGAGCGGCCCAGCCTCCAGTTCAACCTCCCTAGCGCCAGCCCGCCCTCCCCAGTGACAGTCTGTCAGCAGTTACCTGCCAAAGCAGGAACCGGTCCACCGCACCTCTCCGCGCGCCCTGCCCGCCCTTCACCCTCCGCGGTGCGTTATACCCGCCGTGCGCATCGCGCAAGCGCAAGACCTCGCACCACTGAGAACCCGCGGACCTTGTTGCTAGAGTGGCAACTGCTTCTCCCGCGTCTAAGACAAACTTAATTTCTTATGAGGGTACTCAGAATCCCAGGAGTCCACGATCCAAAAACCCAAGCTAGACCCATTGCTTTCTGGTTTCGCGCATTTCTACCCAGAGAAGTAATAAAGTTTTCCATTGCTCCACAGAATTCTGATCAGCAAATAGCTGTTCTTAAGGTTAGCCCGGTTTGATGGGGGGGGGGGCGGATAATGCAAGTTTACATTTGTGGGTCGCTTACTACTGGTTGGGCACTAGGTAAAACACATTAATTGTATTATCCCAGTCTTCTCAAGAGCATTTGTAAGCTAAGCACATTTGTTTCACTGATGAGACTAGGGCATAAAAAGGTGAAAGCAACACACCCCCAAGGTCACACAGCAAGAAATGGGACAAGATTCAAATCCAGGTCCTCTGAATTGGGAGCCATCCCCTTCTACCACCTCGGCCTCCTCAGTGTTAGCACCTTAACTCTCATGTCAGCTTCCCTGCCATGTTATAGTCTTCAGGAAGCGTTTTTGGATTCCACCAAGAAGATACCACTCAATTTATGTTACCATTTCATGAATTCTGAATATTTTTGCTTTTCATTTATCGCCTATGTAGGTGTAAGAAAGTCAAAGTAGAATCCAAAATACAATAGTTCCTCTTTTAGGTGACCTCTCTCCCTTACTAGATATCTTCCTGAAAGGGACTCCAGGTAGCATCGTCTACTAGGTTCAGCAATTTGGTACTAATTGGTGCTGAGTTTTCTTTCTTTTTCTTCCTTCCTCCCCTGTGGTTCCGAGGATCAAACTCAGGGGCTCCCATATGCACAAAGCATTCTGCCAGTGAGCTATATCCCTTCCCCAACCTATGCCTCAATTTTCTGCATCAGCAATTAGTGTTTGTTGAGCACCACTGTGTGTCTGGCACAGTGTTAGGAATGAACAAAACGGGCAAGTTCCTTGCTTTCTTGGGGTGTATCATTTAATAGGGAAAATCGACAACAAATACTTAAAATAGTGATTTCAGATAACAATAAATACTGAAAATGGAATGGAGAGGACCAGGGAAGGCTTCTTTGCAGTGCTGAATTTGAGCTGAGGCCTGGAGAATAAGAAACTAGCTACATGAAGATCACAAAGCAAGTTTTACTCAAATATATTTGATCACTACTTCCCAGGCACAGTTTGTGCAGTTCTGTACAGGCTGTGAACAGAAGTCCAGATTCATGCTCTCATGAGACTGGCATTTCTGTTTGCATGAGTGCAGAAGCAGGGATGGAAAAAATAAAACATGGTGGTGTAAAAAAGGGACTCAGTAGGGCTAATTTTGATTGATTGAGTTGATGACATTTAGGATATCCAGGTTTAAAAAAAAAAAAAAGAGTACCTATGTTAGGCCCTGGGGGAGGGAAGTATTTCAGGCAAAGGTTAATAATAGCTAGGGCAAAGGCCTCAGGAAAGATCTTGATGTATTGAGGGAAGGGGGCGTTTTTCTGGATCAAGGTAAGGTGTATGGTAGGTGAGGGTATGGCCCATATAATAAGCCTTTTTTTCTTTTCTGAAGGCTTTTTGAGTTAGCATAGAGTTGGCTTTTTAGTTTCAGTGCAAATTAAAGTCCATTAGAGATTTTTAAAAAAGAAAGTAACATGACTGAACATTTAAAAAAAAAATCTTGGAGTATATTAAAATACTATATTAAGACGTTAACTGTGGAGACAGATCAGTTAGTTAGGAGGCCTTTCCCAGCTAAGAGGATATGTCGTGGCCGAAAGGTGGTAATGACTATGTAGTAAACAGATTAAAGATATAGTTGAGAGGCAAAGATTTGGCTGGGTTATACAGGAAAGGAATCAAGTAAGACTTAAAGAGTTTTGTCCTAAACAACAAGGTGGTGCATTTACTGCGATGAACAAAACCAGGAAAGACAGAATCAATGAGTTCTACTCGTAACTGTAATAGTTTTTATTTATTGCGTGCTTAATATGCGCTACTGTGCATAATTTAGATTTTTTTCCCCCACTAAAAATTCACAACACTGCCAGTTAGTGCTTTAATTTTTTTTTTTTTTTTTTTAAGAAACAGGCTCGGACTTGGAGGGTGGGGAAGGTCTCACCGCATTGAAGTGCTGGAAACCAAGTCTGAACTCGGCTTCAGTCGGTCAGTCTCCACGGTCGCTTTTCTGTAAGCAAGCGGACCTCTTTTTCTACGAAACCAAGATACTGCTTACGGGGTTGCCAGGATACCGTAAAGCGAGACCTCCCAAGCGAGGCGTCCCAAGTAGCGTTGGCGCGAAGTAACAGCCCCGCCCCCTTCCGCCACTGTCCCTCAGCGCCGGCATCTAGTGAAATTTCAGTGTATTTCAATGGGAAATTTCAAGACTTCCAAGCTAAAACCTCCTTCTCCCAATTGGTCGATTTTGGTAGAAAAGTCTCGCGATTGGTGAAAAATCCAGGGAGTCGATAAGAAAGATTTAGGGTATCTCGGTGCCTTCACTTGGCGCCAATCCCTGCCTTTTACGTAGTTTTCTTCGACTCGCGGGAGCCGGGCCTGAGCGGCTTCTCTTGGCGTCGCGATCCTTTGACGTTTCCTCTTCCAATTGGCCAGGAACTGCGGCTGCAGTTCCGAAGCCTAACTGGCTACCCGCACCGCCTCGGAGGTGAAGTGTACTCTGCTGATTGGCTCCGAGGTGCCGGCCGCGTGTGATGTCCCGGGCAGCGATTGGCCCTCGCTTGCTGGGGGCTTCTCTCACCGGGACTTGGGACTCCCGGGAAGTGGACTGGCAGAGGCGGGGGGCGAGCTAGCTGCTTGCGGACCAAGTAGGAGACTCCCGGCGTGAGGCGGCCTCACAAGGCCGGGAGCGCTGGCGAGACGACGCGGCGGCTGCGGAGGCTGTGAGGAGTGTGTGGGACCGGGGCCGGCACTGAGGAACCATGGCCCCGCAGAACCTGGGCACCTTTTGCCTGTTGCTGCTGTACCTCATCGGGGCCGTGATCGCCGGGTGAGGAAGAGGCGGGCACGGCGGGCATGGGGCCCGAGAGTCAGCTTTACTGGGGAGGAGGCAGGGTGGGCATTGGGGAGGGAGAAGTGAGAGAAGCGGCATGGCCCCACTGAAGGAACGGAGAGGGATATCCTTGTGGTATGGCAATGGGGCGGAAGAATGGGTAGGATAGTGTGGGCCAGGCTTTTGGGATACGAGGGGAGCCTAGCGTGTCACCAGTGAGAGGACCTTAGATCCAGAGGCCCTGTAGGGCTTTGCCTAGAAGAGTGGGAATTGAATACAGTGCCAAATACAGCAGCTGAGGTTTGAGGGGAGTTTCAGGGGAGGAAAGTGGTTGCGAGCGGAAGCAGTGTCACGCAGAGCTGGGGAGGAATAGGACTCCTGACTCTTTGAAGATAGTGACAGCTCGATGTTGAGATTGAGGCGATGGACACGCCTTCGGTCAAAGAGGTGTGTTGTTGTACCCTCCTGAGTTGAAGCAGAACATGGTGCAATGCTGAGTCCGGGCAGGCCATTGAAGAGCTGACATTAAAGTGAGTGTGCTGTGACACCAGTCAGAATGAGGATCTCAGGTAGCAAATCTGGGAAGCAAACCCGGGACTGAAGAAAATTGAATCGGGAAGCAGCAAGACCTTTTAGAGAGCTCTTGAACTTCCCAGCTTCTTTACTGAGACAAGGCTGTGGTGCCTCACTGTCTCTCTCCATGGTACCATCTTGAGAATTCAAATGGTGTGAGTGAGAAGAACAGTTCGCCAACAGATAGTAAGCTGGGGTTTTAGCCACTCTATTTATGAATTATGTAACATTGAAAGAAATTTAGATATTCTCATCTGTAACGTGAAAGTAGTATTGTGCCATCCTTATGCAGATGGACTCTTAAGGATCCAGTCAGCCCTTTAACATTCATGATCCTATACTCCTGGAAACCCAAGATATAGTACACCAGGCTCTTATTTTATTTAATTTATTTTTTGTATTTATTTTTTAGTTTTAGGTGGATACAATATATTTTATGTGATGCTGAGGATTGAACCCAGTGCCTCACCCGTGCTAGGCGAGCACTCTACCACTTGAGCCACAACCCCAGCCCATATTTTACAATGCAAAAAATAGTAGGTCTCATTTTCCAACAATTTATAGGTTTTTCTGAATGGGGAAGGTACTACCTAGCATAGTTTTAAAATTTAAGACTTTCTTACACAAGTTTTTTTACCGTTTGCATGCAAGTTTAAGCTTTGTTGTCATTTTTTCTTGTGAAACATCTTAAATTTCTAAAAATTTAACTTCTCCTAGATAATGCTTTATTGGTTTTTTAACTATACTTTTCTTTGTAATATTTACACATAAAGCTACGAGTACTCTAGAGTGTTTAGTAAAATGCTAATATTAAATATTTTAAATCTTGTAGGTATAAACTTAAATAAGTCATAAAATAGTCTCTTAGTGTAATGTTGATGCTGAGCTAAGCTAGCCATTTTCTCCCTACATTTTTCTGAGCTGTTCCCATTTTTACATGAAAACTACTGAAAATGAGTATAAGTTTCATATTTTTCTCTTTCAGCAAAAAAAATACTATATCCAGATGGGTTTTATTTTGTCTTTAGAGTTGCTATTTGGGCTTCGACTTAACCTTTATTTTAACCTCTAAATTTCACTTCAGTCACTTTCTCTTTAACATTTGTAAGTGTTTCTATTAGGACATTTATGTCACATTATCTTTTTAAATAAAGAAAACCATCCTTTGAGATTGATATTTGACCTTTGGAAATAGTCAGTAGTCATCTGGAACCAGAAAGGGAAAAGGGGGAGAGTTAATTGCATTTTATGGTGTTATTGCCCAGAAATGACATGTGACCATAAAATAAGAAAATAGTTTCCTGAAGGAAGATAGTTGTAAAGAAGGTTCCAGCCAGGTGTGGTGGCACATGCCTACAATTCCAGTGATTTGGGAGGCTGAAGCAGGAG